TCTTACTATTGTCTTCTTTTGATCAATTTTCATTCAAAGTCGTTGCCTTTTATTTGTTTATTATTGCTGTTTCCCTTTTATTCTAATCTGTGTTTAGTCACTGCGATCCCGAGGAAAATGACGATGTCTATATGCAGGAGCTTCTGGGGTTGTGTTCTTGGGAAAACGAGAACGAGAAGCCTTATACCGGTGAGGCAAAATGCTGTCTATGTCAATTCGTCTCTTGACTGAAAGGGTGCTATTTTAGTGAAGATATTCTGAAGCAGTCGAAATTTATTGAACGATTTATTTAGAAAGTGACAGTTTTGCCGAAGCATCAAGTTGGTCAGATGACGATGACGATGATGACTCAGCCTTTATGACTTTTATTCGTAATCAGTGTGTTTCGATTGTAAAACCTGAAGTAGTTCAAGACTTACCGACTAATGATATGCAAAGTAATTTTTTGACTACTTTGATTTAGTTGACTGTTTTTTAAGAATGTTCTTTTCAGATTTGCATATCTCTAAGCTCTCTTTGAAATCGAGGGTTTCCATACGCAAAAAATCTGGAGTACTATCATCAACGAGTATAAACTGCGGTGGAGACGAAAGTTGTGATACGAAGCGCAGTTATGAAAGTGACCAGTCGTTAATGAGTTCATATGAGCAAGTTGGTGACTTTTTAGAGTTAACGCTACTTATGGACAGTCTTAACATTTTTCTTTTTTCTCAAAGTTTTCGGATTAATCTAGAGTAGTTCTGACATCAGCAGCTCGTAACTGTTTTCTATCGTTTGTTCACCTGATATTGGATTCATTTGGATTTGCCTGGATAGGTATTTTTTTGTAACAGAATATAGACGTAGTTGAATAGGCAGAAGGAAAGGGAGAGAGGGTTTTAGAAATTTTTAGTCACGGTTGGTTACACTAAAGAGTTTGCGCAATTTTACTTTAATATAGGGATCGTTTAACAAATTTGATTGGATAGGGTGGGATGAGACATAGATTCTACATATTATCATTCACAATCATTAATTAATTCCTGTAGCACTTTCTGCTACTGCCACTTAGGGCATCGACTGCTTTTTGTAGCATAAGTTTTTAGGCCTTTTTTGGCATTATCTGTGACGATAATGATTCAGTAGGATACGGTACAATAACTGATCCGAGTGAGACAACGTCTACATCATATGGAGATTTATGGTCGAATGTGAAGTTTACGTTATGAATCTTTCTTACTGTCTTGGAG